ATCTTCAATTTAGAGAAAGTAGTGTAAGACAACCGTTTCTAAAGTTGGCATAAGTTGTCTAAAGCATTATAGTGTGACAGGGCCTTTATATTGCAGTTGGTTTTTCAATATACAGATATTACATAAACATTTAAGGTGTTTTACAAACACAAATAGAAGTAATGATTGGCTGTATCCCTTCTAGTGTAAAATGTGTTCCTGGAAAATTGCAATAGTTTAAATGGGTATTACATTTTACAATCTAATAGCCAATAGATTGTAAAACCTGTCAAGTTTTTTTTTTGTTTTGTTTTTGTATGAGCATTCGAAAAAGTATGTACGTGTTGTACATAGCTTTTTGAATAGTATTTTCCTTAATTGCTAACGGATGTTTTATAAAACCCCACTTAAAAAGGTGTGAATTATCCCTTTAAATTGGACTTTAATGTCCACAGTGCAATAAGTGTCAGTACATAAGTATGAAATTCAAATTAAATCATTCACAAACATACATGAAAAACAACTGACACTCTGTTATAATCATTCAGATTTCTTTTTTCTCTCATTTTACTCATTATCTTCTACACAAAGTTCATGTTGTGGAGGCTGAATAGAAAATAAAACCACAAGCATATGAAAAGCACAAATGGAAAAATAAAAGTCCACAACCACACACAAAGGCATGAGGCCACACATGTGTGCCACCATAATATGTGATTATTTGAATATGTGCATGCATATACACTCCTCTTTTCTCCATAATTACTGTATAGTCAGCATGCTCGCGTCTGGGGGGTGACTCAAAAGTCAGATGTTGACAACAGCAGAGCTGAACTCAAGCTGGGACTTGTCAAAGGCCTGACACTGATAACATTATCCATGTAATTATTCACACTTAAGTGAGCTGCCTACTTATTTTTAACATAATGGATTTTAAAGAGTAAGCCAGACCAGAGCTGCCCTTTTCTTTTTCATAACTTCAGATCTGCTTACGTCAGTAGCCAAAAGGGAATATGTGCTCCAATTTGTCTCAGTTAGTTTCAGCACAATCTAATTATTATTTGTGACTGGCTTTTTATGACATCATTATTAATAGTTTTATTACTTTTTTTTTGAGCATCGTCTCAAAACACAGTTAACCTTATTCACATTAGTAGGCAGCTGCACAATGTTTTAAGAACCAAAAAGATACTATTTTCCTCTCTCTTTCTCTCTTTCTCTCTCTTATAAAATTTTAATTGGTATGTTTGGTGAGTCGTCTGCCTTTTCAGAAAATCATACTTAAAGGGATCCCTGATTAGTTGTAACATTAGACTTTATATGATAAACATTTACTTTAACTGTAAAATAAAGACTGTAAAAATACTGTAGGCTGTTCAGTTTTTATTATTTTTAAATGAAAAGTTTAAAATATTTTACACGTATGGGACCATTTTATTTACATGCAAAGCATTCTGGGTAAATGATGACATCAACTAGGTCATTGGTGAGGCTGCTAGCGAGCTATATCCACCCTGAAGGTTAATCTTGGACAATATCTGATGATCG